GTAAAATCAGCTCTCGGTAGAGACAAGGATCTCCCCGCGCGTTTCACGGTTCGTAAAATTGGACACATCACGTCGGAACGTTGCGCCTGTTTCTGGTGTGTTAGATCTACTTAGAGAGGATCGAACTATTCACAGTGAATCGCTGCGTGACTCAACCGAAGTAACGAGGAGAAATCTGATTAGGACAAGCCTTCTTCTTAAGCTAATTAGTTGCCTCTTAATTACTTGAAACAGATATTTTTACACTCGATTTGCTTAAATAAAGTCTTAATGCGATTTGATTTGGATTTATTGCAGCACTTAACATATACATGAGATTAGAAATACAAGTGACAAAATTATGTAATTTATGTCATTTTCTGCACGTATCAGCATGTTTCATCGTTTCGTACCATTTAATGTTTTTAGGAATACAATTTCTTTCTTTTTAATGATATTCTGCAAAATTACAATTAATGATCGGAAGTAAATACAAGTTTCTTTTGCAATTAGATTGATATAGAAATTAGCTATAATTATTGTTAAAAGAAAACTAATAATAATCCAAATAGAAGGTAAGCAGATATAAAAATTTATGTTTTGAATAACATTTTTCTCTGACACAAATAATAGAGATTGGTATAAACGGTCCTGGGTTTTCCAGAGTAAAACTTTTACTTTATAATTGCCAAAAATCCTTCCATTCTGAATCCGGCAATTTTTTAGTCATTATGAAGTAAAAACGTGGAAACCTCTATTATTTTTGTTCGAGAGAAAAGTTGCGGAAAATATCGATTTTTACAGGATACTTCTGTTTTATAAAAAATGGTGTTATTGTCGTAACTTTTATTTCAAATAGTGCAGTGGTTATATCTATGGGGTGTCGGTCGTTGAAATATTAGACATGTAAGCAAAATTCAATGTAATAATACTTGTATTTTCTCGCGAATATCTCCGAAACTAAAATTGAATAAGGGTTGCACGTATAAGAAACAATTGCTTAAAATGACATTTCTCAGAACATATCCAAAAATCGTCAAAATCGATAAGATACACACTTATACAATCCCCAATCTTAACTGCAACCGTACATTCTTAACTCAAAATCCTGGAACCTGAAATGTATAATTAAAAATTCTACTTTTCCATTACTACAATCTAACGACACATTTAAATTTGTCTAAATGGTATCTCTACTATTTATTTCCTCAATAATTTCAAAAATAAGTTTCATAATCAATGGTCCTTTTATCCTCTCATTTTTGACAAAAAGTTTCAAGAATATTGCAGAACAGTAATCAATATCGTTCATCAAATTCTTGCCACATTCATAAAAATAAATACAAATCACACGCAAAGCATACAAGATAATACAGTACACAGAATACAATACACAATATAAAATATAACACGAAATACAACATATGTTACTAAATAAACACAGAACTCAAGAAAAAAGAAGTGGCAGCCAGAGGTACCCACCAAAACCACCGCGTCATCGCCGAAACGCCCAGATCAACGTCCCCAATACGTTCCAACGTTAACTGAGACGTCGTCGACGAATACCGTGAATCTGTTCCTGATATATCCCCTTAATGCATTCGTTCAATTTGATCGCGGGTACGCGGTCGGAAGACGCGTGACTGGATAATCAGGGTCGCACGAATGGCCGCAAAAAGCCGACGACAAAAACCGGGCAAGGGACGTTGATCAGAGAACATTTCAAATGAGCCTCGAAATGGCAAAGTAACCTGGCTGCCCCTCTCCGTTCCCCTCTGGACCGATCCTCTCTCTACCTCATGGACCCGCGGACCACACGGGGCCGAACGTACACGAGCGTCACTTTGTCCCTGACGAAGTTAGCGTTTACGTATGCGAGCAGCGTCGTCCGGTGGGTTTGGAAGTGCCGCAGGCATTCTGGAACGATGTTGTCGGCCGTGGCCGTTTTAGCCCCGGGCGGCACGAATACGACAGAGACCGAAGCCGAGCCGAGGCTTGGTTCCCTTTATATCGGCCCTCGCCAACTGCCCCATTATTCTCGATGGCCGATGGCCAATCGTATCGGCGAAGTACCAACTGTAACTTTACGAGAACGAAGACTCCAACGATGTGCAGACACTGTTTGGAAAAGCTCCAGGTGCGCGGCGGCAAACCGCCTTAGAGAATTACTATTAAAGCTTTCTCTCTCTTGTTCTCACTTGCTTCCCGAGGATTATTTGTCCTGTGTTTTTCTTCCGTTCCAGAGGATTCAATTTTTCGGATGAGAATTCGGAGGGAGGGACACGAATTTGTTCCGCGGTTTAAGCCTTCAGGGTTACTGCGAGCGATTTTTGTTTTGATGTCAGTGAAATATATGGCTGGCGACAGTCATTTTTTTGGCAGTTATTTGGATAGTTATAATAAGGTTGTTGTAGTACATGTCAATTCTCTCATCTATTTCGTTGTAAGTAAAACAATAGGATTAAAGTGGTTTTCTTCTGTGGTAGATTTTAAGGAGTAAGATGCTTATTTATACACGGATAGATTGAAAAAATTACTTATTTCCTTTAGAATCATTGCAGTAGAAGAGATAAATTTTATAGAATATTTCAGCAAATTTCTGGACATTAATTTAGCGAACTTCTCACATTAAAGAGAACGTGATAAGGATTTAAAGTCTCAGGTCAGAATTGGTAGACTCGCAGTTATACAGCAAAAATGATCACAAAGGTCTTTCAAAAGATGTACTTGCTGAGATGAGACCAATTTATGACAGTTGAAGGAAGAATATCTTATTATAATACAGTGTTGCGGAGTTAAGTCTCATTAGATTGTATCTATTATTGTAGGTATTGCTGTATGTATAGTGATATGAGAATTGAATGAGAGTTCAACAACATTATTGAAGACAATAGTGTTTTCAGAATTGATAGGACAGAGACCTCGGAAATCCCTGTACTAATTCAACAGGAATTTAATTCATAGTCGTTCTAGGTAAAATTAGATAATCTTTGTAAAACCTCTTCTTTTGCGAATGCCTCTATTTTTTTATATGTAAAATTTTATATGTATCGTCAATTCAAATACTATTAACTTTGTGGAACAGCCGCAGTTTAAACATTAATGTGTGTGAAAACTAGCTCCTTTTATTTGTTTTCATAACCTTCTTATTTCATATGTTTCAGACAAATAAGTTTTTCAATTTGTATAAAATTCGAGTTTTAGGATAACGTAGAATTTTTGTGAAACAGTTTTATTGTATAGCAGCAGCGCCGGTATTTATATCCATTAGAAAATTGAAGTTATTTTGTAAAAAAACGCAAAAAATACGTGCTTGTTTATTTTTTTCGTCTCTGAATGTTTCCTCTCGAAAGACCAACATGGGTTAACAATTAATTGAAATATGAAATTTTGAGCTATGGTATAATAACATATAGCATTTTTTAGTAATGAACAAAATAATTATATAAATAATAAAAAATTTATTTGCCCCGGCTACTTGTTTTTGAAAGACATGGTATTCAGATAACAGAACATTTAATAGTGAAACTTTCATTCATTAAGGTATTTAGATAATAAATGTTACTTTCTTCAAAAAATGCACGATTAACTAAAAATATAAAACCCTTTCTAATTCTAATAAAGTATTTTGCCATTTTCGTTTTTATAACACCTAAACACTATATTCAAAATGCTCAATACACAATGCAGCACTAGATATAAGCAGCTCTGCTCTGTCACGCTATAGCTTCATCATCCATAAAAAAAAGTGCCGACAACAATTCAATGTTGCAAGGCTCAATTAAGTCCGATAATTTATATAGCGTGCAATTACCTGGAGCCTCCGCGAGAGATGTAAAACTGCAGACGAACAGGTAAGTATGGAAACCCAGCAAACCGTGCATACTAATCATCTCATTAGTTCACTCGAACGAGAATTTATAAGATTATTACTATTATTATAACGTGAGTGATCCACGTAAACAGGCAACTGCATAGATAACGCCGTTCACCTAAATCATTTATCAGTAACATAATAAACCATCTTCGAGCTGAAAAGGCCAACATCGATTTCGCGAACATGAAACCGTAACTAGCAGTGCATTTTTAACGCATCTAACACGACACACGAATGAACCTTAAACAGAATTACAAAAATAATAAAACCAAAAGCGTGTCGACGAAAAATTGATCAATAATAAAAATCTATCTCGCATACATCAGCTATTAAAGGTCATTCGTGGGTCCCGAGCAAATACTAACGCGCCGATCTACAAGACCGTCGTAATGGAGGGACTCGCGGCTATAAAAAGGAGCAAAAGGCGACGCGCGCGCGCGCGCGCGCGATGAAGATCTAGCTCCATTCGCGTATCCGTGGAACACGGAGGACGCTCGGGGCGGTTATCAGGAGCCCGCGGGACGCCGCGCAACGTCGGAGCATAGAAAGAGGAAGAGGATGACGAACGTGATAATCTAAATTAAAGAAGCTAGACATCGGATTAAGGGATCGAATCGGGGAGGCCGCGATACCCCGGGCGGGTAGGCGATGAAGTTGTATCGCTGATTAAATTTCATTTGCATTTCAACAAAGTTTCCGGCGATATAGAAACTCGACCAGTCTCTAACTAGAGCGCGAGTAACATCGAAACTACGGGAGGCTATAACACCGTTAAAGAAAAAGATCCTCTCGTAGGTAGCTAATTAAAGGCAAGCGAGATGAACACGGAAAAAGAGATATCGACTGGCAATAATTACGATGGTAGCAGTAATGATAATAATGATGATGATGATAAACGCGAATCAAATTGACCGCGGGCCATGGAAAGGGGATTTGAAGCCAATTGACACACAGAGCAGAGGGGTGACCTCGAGGGCCGGGCGAAGAGGATTGCAAGCTCAGGGCGCTTACCGAAACGCCGCGAGCTGTCGAGCCGGGATATGCTGGCTTTGGTGGGGGGAGAAGGACGAGGTAGCCCGGAGTGGTGGTGGCACAGCCGGCGGTGGTCCGCGATGATCGGGTTGGTAGTGGTGGTGGCGGCGGCAGCGCGAACGGCTCCGACACCGAAGAAGACACTTCAGTCCCATTAAGGCTGCGGCGGCGCGCGGCTCGCGCTCTTTCCAACCCCTCCGAAGAAGACACGTGAACCGCGTGACCACGTGGATCCCTTGTGCGCGACACTCACGCGAGCTTTCTCGATATCGCGAATGCTATACACGCTGGCTCGGACCAAGTGTTCTGTTCTCTGGTGAGATCGATCGGGGGTTTCTATATCGACAACAGTGGACGCGAAAACAACCGTCAACCTGGAGCCCACGTGTCAAAAACGGTGAGTGCTGGGGGTTTCCTCTTCTTTTCTCTTTTGCTGGTAATCGTTCTGAATCACGGCTCCACGTAAATTATGCGAATGAGGATGTTTACTTGCGAGAAGATGTCTTGCAGTGTAAGTAGCTTCCTATTGCTCGTGTTTACGTGTTTTGCTATGCAAAGTGACTGTGTAACGGAACCTAACGAAGACCTGATCAGGAACATTTAAGGCGTCGTTCGTTCTATATTCATAAAAATATAACAGTTTATTTATGTTTCTTTGGTGGTCATTTTTCTTGTGAAGATTTCTCGGTCAAATAATTATTATGTTGTTGGGGAGAATTAAGAGTTGCTAAATGAATTTATAGCTCAGTTGGAGATGGAGCCGTGGCATGGAACAAGTATTTTTCTTTTTTTGATTTTCTTGGATTTGATGTAATGATTGAAACACTACTTGTTCAAAATGAATATGATAGTTGATTGTTTTAACTGTCACTGATGCATACGTTACGTTTTATTAATTGTTTTTATAATGATGATGCGATTGTTGACTATTCATTGATTGCCTGTTCTTTGCGTTAGAAAGGAGAATATTGTGATGTGGTTATTGTTATACAGTGTAGATGCTCATTGAGTTTGAACAGCTGTTCATTCAGGCAATAGCTAATAACGAATTCAAAGATAAAGTGTGGATAAAGTTTCACTCTTGAGAAGGCAAAATGAAATTCTCTAGCAGCGAAAGTGTTAGGAAAATGGCAAGTGAATTTATTTTAAAATAATAATTCATTTATCAAATATTTAATTATCTCAAATGATAGTATGAAATAATAAATAACAGTTTTTGTATGTAGTTTCGTGAGTACTTAAACCTTTACATTAGAATATTGTCAAATATTGTCGGTGGTCTATGATTTTGATGTAGACAGTAAATTCATTTCAAGAAAGTCTTATTTTCTTATTAAAATTGAATAATGAACACTTACACTTCAAATAAAGCAAATATTAAAATCATTTATTTTCCGAGTACATCCTTACTTGAATAATATTAACTCGTTACCCTATGATGTATTTTTTAATCATGATCCATACAACTGCTTTCTCATCAACAATTAATTAGACGAATGTAAAAAATTAGAGGCCCATGTTGTGTCTATGTTTGTTCTAAGCTGTAATAATTGATTAATAAAATTGAGTAATATTTATAATGTTAAATTCTATTTAAAATCGTCGCCACGAGTTTGACACTATATTATAAGGTAAGGGGTTAAGTAAAATCAAATAATACAATGAATACTTTTATTTTATTAAAATATAAATGACAAGAGAGAAAATGGATTGTGGAATGTTGAATGCTGGACCTTATTTGAATATTTAATTAATTGTTATCCGATTAATACTTATTCCCGTTATTCGTTATTCGAGTGAGGAATCTTTATTCGTTATTTACTGCTCGTCATTTGTGGTAGGAAGAAGAGTTAACTAAGCTTCAGTTTCGTATGATCTGTGACTTTAACGAATTTGTTTCTTTGTTTCTATTTTAAATGTATTTTTGTATTGCACTGTGAATGTTCATATGAATTATAGATCACTAATGATTTAGTCCGTGTTTTTCATTCAGCCTATTTAATAATTTAGCATCAAAGAAGTCAATTATGAAATTGGCGCAGTTCAGAGCGCGTTAAGGGTTTTATAGAATAAATATGAAATAAATACGATTAGATTCTTTTATATTTGTTACGTTAGCGTATTTTGAATATTCATGATTGTTACATCCTGAATATATAAATATGCAAAGAAAAAGAAATATTTATTCTTCATTTAAATTCAGTAAGGTTCTTTTTATTTGCTGACTACGTAATTTGTTAATGGAACAAAGAATTTCCTGTTTAAATCTTCGTTTTATACAACTAGTCTACACAAATGTAAATTTGAGTAACTGTTGGATTCCGTTTAAAACTTTTATATTTCACACGCGTACAAGAAAATAATCTGTCATGAATACTGTTTTGTTTTACTTAGTGTTTCAAACAAATAATTCTTTGAAATGTTTGTTCTCTAATAATATTCAAAAGTTAATCAAATTAGTATTTGATTTATTATATCGAAACACTTTTAAATTTGCGTAAAAGATTTATGAAATGAAAGTAATATAATATATTCTCAAATACTATATCATTAATACGTTTGTTGTTATTTATTTAAACTAATAAATCATAGATTAAAAACTTGCATGTATATAGAAATATAAAGTTCTGGTAATTAACACGAAGTATTATGCAATCAGCAGTTTATAGTTTTGATTGGGTCTATTTGATAATAAAAGTTATTATATTTATAAATATACAAGTGGAAACAATTTTAATGAACGTCAAATGCAGTTCCTTACTCTTTTCTAAATATAATTGAGAAAATGAAAGCTACATCGTGATTTCTAATAGAATCTAATATTAAAGGAAACGGTATCCACTATCGAATTTACTGTCTTGAAGCCTTAATCTGATACTCGCAAACAAGACTGCAGAAAATCTATAAATACCGAGGCAATCCACGTAGGAAAGCAATTAGAGAAGCCAGGGGAACGAACGTTCCCTCCATGATTTATCTAATCAGTCGTTTTACTTTCGCGCCGATCGCACGGTAATTAACCGGCTGGCGAACAATTTATCGTGGCTAGACATAGTTAGTAGATAACACGCGGTACGCCAATCTCCTCGTCAGCCACCAGCTTAATACTCGTTCAACCAGGCTAAACGCGTCCTTAGTGAAATTTTATGCAACGTGCAGCTTTCACGACTCGAAAATTCCTCGGTTTTAATATAATCCATTGATCTTGATACCTGAAACTACATCCGGTTCCAATAAACGATCTTTCATTAAACAGAATCCTCTGACATACAAGATATTTCATAAAACAAAAATGATTTACTAAAGATTATATTCGCATAAAATTGAAGATGATTAACCTGACAACGATTTATCCATTTAATTATTTAATAATGTAAAAGATATGTTTACATATCTACATGCTATTTTTAATATTTGTGATACGAAATTTCAAATTTGGTTCACATAGAGGGCATCGAACAATTTTAAAAGTAAAATTCGTTTTATGTTATTGAATATAATAATTGATTTCGTGAAAATGAAAGATGTATTCTTTGGTAATGTTCCAGTGATATTGTGCTCTGTTCGCCAACATCCTACTCATTTATAACCAGTAAATTGAGTTAACAGTGCATTGCAGTTCATTTTGCGAATCTTTAAAGAACCAGTTTTTTCTCATGAAAATTATTTTATCTAAATATTTACTCATGTATAAAACATACATGCGATACGGAATTTGATAATTTGTGTAGAACCCCTTACTTTCAGCATTAAGGTTCAGCTTTATACCAAAATCAGTGTAAATAATATGACAAGTAAAATGATAAGAAAGAAAATTGATTGTGAAATGTTCAATGCTGGGCATTATTCGAATAAGACGTTATTTGAATAACAATAACAAATAAATAATTGTTATTCAATTATTCGTCATTCCCGTCATTCGTTATTCACGTGAGAAATTTGTATTCGTTATTTACTATTCGTCATTTCTTATTCGTATTTATAAATTCGACTGATAGCAAGGCGATGTCATTCACGTTTTTTATGTTATTATATGCACCGCTGGACAAACGTTATTCACAATAACGAACAAAAAATTACGAATAAATTGAATTTATTTATCGTCTTGGAATGATTAATGTATTAATTATTCCTTATTCGCAAATAACAATCAGATTAAATTTATTCGTCATTCGTTATTCATTATATTGAATAACTTTTTCCCAACGTTACTTGTATTCACGTTTTATCATTTATTTGTCTAATATACATGTATTACTGTAGACGAACTGTTATTTAATATATAGTTGCATTAAATGTACAATACGTATTAAACAATTTATTCTAACTGAAGGAGTACGTGCACAGTGCTTGCCTCGGTTTCGAGGTCGAAATATCGCGTGACAGAGGAATATCCGTGAAATGGAAATGGAAACGAAATACTTTCTAATTAACTCGACAGACATCACGGCTCCAAGTATCTCTGATAATAACAGGTTGAAACGTAAATGCCAGTTGAAACGAATCGATCGTGATTTTAAGTAAACCAAACAGTAGAACCTATTATATCGGTAAGCCATCATATTGGCTTGTACGATTGCTATTATTTACGTCAAGATCGCAGACCTTGCGGATTTGAGACGTACGGGAAAATAAAATTTATACTTCGCAATGTTCTCTCACTCTACGATCATAAATTATGAGAAAGTAATGTCGGTTTGTGATCGAACTAAGATAAGATTATGTTTGATTGATAGCTAATTGAAAAGTGAGAAGCTTGCAGCACTGGGAAATACATTCGCAGGAAACGAGGGATATTAAATAAAACAATAACACCACAGTGAATGCAACCGTAAAATCGGCATTACTGTCGATGAGTAGGCAGTCGTTTCTCGTTATTTAATAACTACAAAAAAGAAAAATAACAGAAATTTGATATAAATAAAAATGATATAAATACAGAAATAAGCAGAGAAAGAAAAAATAGTAAAGTGAAAGTAAGAAAGCAAAAATATTATCATGCAGACTCTTCCACGCTAAACAGTAATGTGATATATATATATATACACTACTTTAATCCTTTAGAATGAATTAAGTTTGTGCAAATATTCGTTACCCAATCATCAAGTTTGCACAAATACTTGTTACCTAATCATCAAGTTCGTACAAATATTGGTTACCCAGTCTTGACGTTTGCATAAATACTGGTTACCTAATCATCAAGTTTTATGGATACATAGAAGCGTCAGAAACATATTTAAGTCGATGATCTCGCTTTTGCTCCAACGAAGAAAGACCATAATTGATATGCAATATTTGAAATTGCCTACGTTAACCTCGCGTTCGCAGAAATCCGAAGACAATGATGTTGCTCAATCCGAGCTGCATTCCGGCGTCATCGAATAATGCTTATGATCA